TGGAACATCACGTATGTTCGTGTACAAACTTCTGCCTATACTATGGAACATCACGTATGTTCGTGTACAAACTTCTGCCTATACTACTAACTTTTTTGTTCTAATTCTAAAGCAAAATAATTCGTGCTGGAATTTTTATACATTGTGACAAAACTTGAACATATATATTCTGGCTAATAAAGAGACAGATAATGCATTAGATCAGTAAAACAAAAACACGAGTTGTAATTTTTGTTCTATCTCGTGACATTTGCTAAACCTCTAACTTGCATTTAAGTAAAAAGATGTTTTATTACATCATGAAGTTTAATTGAAATAAAACATTATTTTTAGAATTTTTAACATCAAACCTTTTGACTTAACAATATATATGGTAACAAAAGTTCCTTGCTACCAGTCTGTGTTTTTCTTATTATTTTTTTTTTTATACCAGATCTGAATGAATTGGATAGATGGCCAGTTGACAATAGCAATGGCAGACATCCACCACATGGTAGCCAGTTCTCATCCCTGTATATTAAAACTCTGAGTACAATTAAAAGAATCCCTTGCAGTGTGGTTATTTTTCTTTCAATAAATGTGTTCTGTATACATATATTTAAACACCTAGCACAGCTGTAGACTGTATGGTTTTCTCACCAGTTATATGTTTATACCAAAAGTTATTTTAAGCCAGCTGTATATACTATAAACATTACAGCTGTAAGAAATGTTGTTACCCTTTACGACCGTATCAAGGCATGTACAACACTGATCTTATGTAGAAAGCTGTAAGGAGCACACAAATTTCAACACAATCTGGAAAAAATATCTGTCACTGGGTGCAGTTCAACATAAAACGACTCTGATCTAGATGATAAAAATACGGTTAGAAAGAAGAAAGCAACATGTCGTAAACTTGAATTCAAACTCAGTCGACACACGAATATGTGAAATTTGTAACTAGCTATGCCGCTCTTGAAACGGGCTCGTTGGCTACAAATGGACTCACCAGGTACCTGACTAGACCCCTTATGCATACACCAAAATTCCAAGAGTCAAAAGTTGCCAAAAAACACTATAAACAAAACATTTGAAAGCAAAGTCTTTGAAAACCTATTTTTTCTACACAGAGAAATGAAAAACAAATTTCAAAACAGAAATGAGGCTAAATAAAGCGAACAATATGATTAATCCATTTCAGCTGGAGGTTAAAATACATGAAAGGAGATGAGGTTCAGACCTGTAGTAGAACCCACTATTCCAGTATTCTGATCGACTGCTTCAAGAAACTGTCCAATAACTAAAGGTACACTCTGAATTCTTTTTACTTCCTCTTGAGCATGGAGGTATTCTTTTTTCAGGTTTTTCTGTTCATCTTTTATATACTCTTCTTGAACTTCTAAGAATTCCAGTTGTCGTTGAAGTTTCTAACACAGAAAATTAAACCATGTTACATATAAATATAATTATTTGATAATATATATACACCAATACTTTTAAACTATAAAGTATTAATCTTTATTTGATTGTACACTGTACATAGTAGCAAATAAAACCAATTTCTAAGAAACGTTTTACAAATAAAATCAGTCCATCTGAGAATGCAAACAATGAATTCCAAAACTTGTGTAACTTCTTTATAAAATTAACGATAATGAACACGAACCAATACTTTCAGTAAAACAAGTTTGAAATGACATTTTATTGAATCAAATGATTTAGTTCACCATCTTTAATTTTAGTACCAGAAAAAACTATACTTATGCTAGCTTCTTCACACAAGTTTAAAAAAAAAAATCAGCTTTTGTTCTTATTCAACATTTGAGTAACCAGTGCTTAGTGGTTTAGCAATAATAATAATAATATTCTTTTTACAATATTATGCTGGCTTCATTTGAAAACATTAAGATTTGATACTTTTTTCTTTAAAGATTGAACTGAAGAATTTATCAAAATAAAAGTTTAGCATCTTTAAGGTTTCAAATTTGATGACAAGAAACCCACTTTTTAGAAAATAGTTTGAGGACAGCTTGAATAGGTAGTGAAAGACACTATTACAAATGTATAACATTTTGAAAAGCTAATGTCATTATCAGGTACTTTTTTTTTTGTTAGACGTTTTCCTTGCATGTATTCGATAATACCCATAAACTGGTTTAGGTTTTTGGATAACTTGACTTGTACAAAGTTGGGAATTAACTGTTCAGTGACGCTGTTTGAGGAAGGAAATCTCACAACTGTTACGTTTTATTTTGAAAGTAATTAGTTTATTTTGATCCTGACATTTGTATGTTATCGTAATAAAGACCACATTAGCTGGTAATTGTTAAAAAGTTACTAGAGCATTTCCTTCAATTATTTGAATAGTCTTTCTTACAGAAGTAAATATTTCCCACCAGTTGAGTTTTACCTGTAACAAATTTATATTTCACAATACCTTGTACTTGGTATACAAATCTTCCAAATCCAGTTCATCAGTCGCAGAAAGAGTACAGCCACTAGTAATACGTGGTTCTGTGGTAAAAGTTTCTTCCTGCTATTGAAAAAAGGGTAAAGTAATAAGGTATTAAGTTCCTGAAATGCATCTTAGTAAACTTTTTAAACTAACACTTAGAAGCTATAGATTGAAGTTATCTCTACATGTATGTCCTTGCGGTAACAGTGCAATTGAAAGAAACACGATTTTAAAAAAACTGCAACTACAAAAGAAGTACACACGATCTGATTAGGTTTTACAGTTTATACGGGACTTTGATAATATGGTCTGTTTGAACTTAGGGATGAAATATTTCTTTGTTAGTTATAAGTATGTGTAATAGTATTTCTAATGAAATGACGTGTGCCAATATAACAGGCTGAATAACTTTGTCACCTTGAATTTTCATTTTGTGACAGTTTATGGGTTGTCTGCTCAAGACATTCATTTAAGTTGGTTGAGGTACAACCTGAAAGGTCAATATGCCTTCATAACTTTCTTACAGTAAGGGGGATAAAACCAAACACACTACTCCAAATGACATCTTACAAGCCTTGACTAGTAGCAATCTTCTTGAACTGTACATTTATTTTAATCCTAAACAAAGCAAACACTTTTGACTGAGGATTCTGAATAACAAAAGTATAGAATAGTTTAATCTCACCAAGTCCAACAATTAGACTGTAACATACTTCTCAGCTGTCTCATTCTCTAAACTATAAAATAAATAAATCTTAAAGCTAGCCCTTATTATTCATATAGTTATAGAGTTTTTCTCTTAAACTCATTTAAATTTACTGCCTCCACAACATCAGAAAGCAACCCATTTCAGAGGCCAACCACCCTGTTAAAAAAAAAAAAACTGTCTTAGCTGAAGAAGACTCCTACCTTGCTAAAATTTATACTTCTGTCCTCTAGTCCTACCATTCCCACTGTTAAGTATGAAAAAATATGATGCATCAACACTATCATTTCCCTTTACAACCCTCAATCAGATTCCCTCTAACTCTTCTTTTATAAAAAGTTTAAGAAATCTTAATCTCTCTTCATATGACAAACCCTCCATCCCAGGCACCATTCTAGTAACTTTCCTCTGAACCCTTTCCAACAATTCAATGCCCTTTCTATGGTAAGGAGCCCAAGACTGAACACAATACTCCAAATGTGGCCTAACCAGTGATCTGTACAATGAATTTATAACCTCTTTAGAGTTGTATTCAATATGTCTGTACATACAACCTAAAATCCTATTTGCTCTACCACTAACAACAGCACACTGGTTAGGTGGCTTAAGAGACTGATCAACCATTACACCAGATCCCTTTCTTTCAGGACACATAGCTATCTTATGGTCTTATCAATCATTTATTACACTTTTAAATACAATATTAGTTATTTGGTTTCCTTGTCTAAAAACAATATTAACTTATTGGAAAGGGTCCAGTCTTATGAGGGTAAATTAAGATCTGTTAATTTATTTTCTCTTGAGAAAAAAAAGGATAAGAGGTGATCTTATTGAACTTTGCGAGATTATAGAATAGAGAGCCTGATTTCTTTGTGCTATTAATTTTATTTGCCATTTTAAAAGTAAATAACTTTAGAATAGAATTTAAAAAAATGAATTTGTCACTATATTTATGAGAAGATTAGAAGACCAGGACAATGGCTATTTTCAAAGAAACTACTCACCACCACAGGGCCATCTCACAAAATGGGATTGTTATATATACACACAACTGTTTCAATTTACATTTAATGCAGGTGTTATGATTTATATAGTTTATAGTGTTAAATTTAGTTATTTTCAGAAGCGACAGTTTATTGCAAGTTTGTTTACATAACTGTTTATGAATCATACATTGTGTTGTACGATGGTTATGAATTAGTGATTGTTCTATTATTGGATCATGTTATAACTTTACAAGTTTTTCTCATTGTCTTAACTGACTATTATTACATCATAATATCTAGTAGTGTGTTGAATGTTCTAGGCCTTTGTTGGGGTATAAGTCAGATACCTATTGTAAAGAATCCAGCCCATACACAAAACCTGACAGGAATATAATATAACCCTAAGTTTTCAACAACAAAAATTTACAAGTTTTGAGTTATTTTATATAGGAAAGTAAGAGATATTAAGACTGTAGTGAGTAAAAGGCATCTCAAAACACCTTACATATAATATACACTTCACCATAATATAAAGCTTTGTCTTATTCATTCAATTAACCCTTGTCAACGGTCACCCACGAGAAGTGTAATTCCCTGAAACTGGTATCATACAGTGACAAGTGATAAATCAAATGACTGATTAGGCTTCACATTTAGTTTTCTGAACCACTTGTCAGCTAAATCCCATTCACACGAATAAAATAAGACGATCAAATAAAACCACTTTCCGGGGATAATACCCAACTTTATAATATAGTCCCTGGAAAGAAACCACCCCTGAAAGTGTTTCTAATAAAGAAAAATGTCATTTCAAGTTATATGTGAATTACCTTTGTGTGAAAAACAACTCAAACTTCAACGTGCACATTTCAGGAGTGAAATGAGTCTTATAATTTCACCATTAACCCTCTTCAAGACATTAGAATTATTAGTAGTTTACGAGCTTAATTTTCAGCTTGCATTTTCTAATTTTCTCAAAGCATTTAACTGAACATGCATGAGATTGGTCAATTGGACTGATACCACTTTGGAGAATGAATGTTAACTATAATTTTGAATTTACTATATGTATCTACACAAAATGTGACAAACGTTTAGTAAAAATAAAATGTACAAGTCTGTTGTATGCAAAAACATATGTTCCAAAGTATTTGTACTCAAGATAAGTCTGTGACAATGTCAGGGTGATGTTCTTGTGAAGAATAAAAGTATTTCTGTCCATCTTACATTTCCATAACCTCTAGAATCTCCAAAAATGCTCATTACAGTTTTCCACACTCCCAGTACACTGTATGTAGTATTTACTCTCTTCTAACACCAAATGTTACTAAATCAGCAATGCTGGGTAAAAGGAATAGCTGATAACTGACAATAAATACATAATACATGGAATGAAACTCTGTAAAAGGCCTTGGCATTTGATCTCCAACTCCTGACATTGGGTTAAAAAATGGAACCTTACAAAACTGAATCACAAAACTGAGTGTTGCCAATACGCTTTAATAAAATTTATTTTCTCGATATAACTTCATAGTACAAAGTTATATGTTACAGTTATTTTACTTACGACAACATAAAAATTAGTTAAAACTAACAGTTTAATAATAATAGTAGTAACTGTTGTAACTTATAATTTTTATATTTAGTCTTCCCCATATAATGTTACCAATTTTTACGACATACACCTGGTCATTTTTTAAAGATTAAACCACATAAATAATAACAGTTCAAATGCAATTACCCCTTGTCAAATACGTAACGCTTATGAATTACCTTTTCAGGAATGATAATTCCTATTTCCTCCATTCCCCCCTTTAGTTTACACTAAACTATGTGCTAAAAATTGTAACTTCCTCACAATGACTTCGCAAAATTGAGCGCATTCGATTCTAGAATATTGGGGCGCTATCTGGTGTGAGAAGTACTGGTAACGAAAACATCACGGAAATGAATGAACTGATTACACAGGCTTGCGATGGGTTTTTCGTCTTGAAAGTTTTACATGTTCTACAGTAATTCCTGTACGCTGAATCCAAATTTGATTTACATTTTTCTCCATCACGTACAGATTTTTCAGAAAACATCATTACACAATACATAAAAGAAAGACCATAACACGTAGTTTTGAAACTAAAAGACGTAGATTTTACACACAAAAATCAGGATGATTGAGGATGCATATTCGTTTGACATCAATGTTCTTCCCTTTTCTTTAGTTTGTTTGTAATTTTCTTAACAAACATAATAATAAAGAATGTTCATTGTGGTAAACGAAATAATAATTTGATCTAAGTAAGAGTCCCCCCCCCCCCCGATTTGTACAAAATCCTTACGTGACAGAAAAAAAGAAAATTATTTTCGAAATCTGCGTAGCTGAACTATGGAAAATCCGTTATTAAAACCAAAACAACTTTTATGAAGTTTAAATTGTGCGATATGTTAAAACTTTTAGATCAAAACATTAAATACCTATACACATTTAGCAAAAATTGAAATTTCTTGCCATTTCAATAATATTCGTTACACTTGTTACTTCAACAGATTAAACGTTGTTGAATTGAGTCTTAGAATGATAATTAAAAACAATAACTGTGGTCTAAACACGGAAATATATAGATCTGGAAACAATTTAAAAAGTTGTTTTTCGTACCGTTAAAACCGGTGCTATACATATCAAAAATAAGAAATACTCCGCTTTGTGGATTTTTATATGCAAACTGATTACTTATTGAACTTTATTATCCAAGGGAACTTCAAAACTTGGTATATATGAGATGGGGATGGGGGGATTCTAGAAGTCAAGATAAAATCCAATCTTGACTTAATATGCTAAAAGACTATCATAACTTCATTCTGAAAATTTGGTTTTGTTAATTACTTGGTGCCCAGACACCACTGATCACCTGATCGATATAGCAGATTTTGGGATTAGGTGTATCTTGTTCACTCAACCACAATGTTTCTTTTCTGGACTGTTTTTTCTCCAATATTTTACTAATAAGTGACCTATACTACAGGTAATAACACTAAAATATGTATTCGACATAATGGTACTTTCTATCTTTACTAATCGAGTATTTAACATACCCTCAACTAACATAGTATTATTGTATTTCAATTAAATACAATGCAAAAGCATCAGGTTTTAAAATAGAAAACATTTGCAGACGTTATTTGTCAAGATTCTTCTTTACTTATATGGAGTCACGAAGACAAAATTACTACACTGCTGCTTTTACATTTGTAGATCTTCTTCTACACTTGTAGGTCTTCTTCTATAGTTGTAGATCTTATTCTTCTACACTTGAAGATATTCTTCTACACTTTGTAGATCTTCTTCTACATTTGTAGATCTTCTTCTGCACTTGTAGATCTTCTTCTACACTTGTAGGTCTTCTTCTATACTTGTAGATCTTATTCTTCTACACTTGAAGATATTCTTCTACACTTTGTAGATCTTCTTCTACATTTGTAGATCTTCTTCTGCACTTGTAGATCTTCTTCTACACTTGTAGGTCTTCTTCTATACTTGTAGATCTTATTCTTCTACACTTGAAGATATAAAAGAAGATCTACAAGTGTAGAAGAAGATCTATAAATGTAAAAGAAGATCTACAAAGTGTAGAAGAACATTTATAGATCTTCTTCTACACTGGTAGATTTTTTTCTACACTTGTAGATCTTCTTCTTCTACACTAGTAGATCTTCTTCTACACTTTGTTTCTCTTTAATTTTGTTTTATATTTCTAACAGCATGGTTGACATTTTCCCGGTGAAACGTAATTTATTTTTATAATTTCAACACAATTCGTGATTTCAGACTTTACTGATTTGCTTGCTTATGACAAAGATAATTAGTTACCAGCTGTTGTCGTAATTTTCATGTGTCAACCACAGGGAAGGTAACCAGCCAGAAACATTATTGACTATCCCATTATGATGCCCCAATGGTTGGAAAGGAGAGCATGTTTGACGCTGTGTTTCGAACTCGCGAGCCGCAGAGTACAAGTCGAGTATCGTAACCATCAGGCCGAAAACTACTTATGTTTATCAGTAGGTGTGAGAAACACGTAGAACATTAACTTTAGCTAATTTGCATATAAAAACATTTTCCCAAAGGATTTTTGCATATTTTAAAATTATTAGACACAAAATGTTGGTTCTAATGATACCCAATACAGTTTAGTGTCAATCTTTTCCGGGTAAGCCCAATTTTTAGGGTTCAACAATTACATTATTGTACGGTAGTTACCTTACTTCGTGTGCTAGTTACACATACTAAAGGTGAATGTTCCACTTTTAGAAGTTTCTAGTAAACAGTACTCAAGTAGAGATATTTGTGGTTCTCAAGTAACATTACCTTACTTAAATTTAGAAATGCCTCCCCTATTTTTACTTGGGACAACCGATGACGTGGGTAGCGTCTGCACACTGAGAAATATGACGTCATTGTAAATATTATCACACTCTCTCGGTCTGGAGAATTTTCTTCAACTTCTTCTTGTTTAGAATTTCTGCAGAAACTCTCTAGAAGTTCAATCCAACGTCTTGAGCACTCGTCTATTTTTACCATGTTTAACATTATGTTCAGTGTTTTTTCTACAATTTTGTGGAACAACATTTTTAGTTTTAATTGTATAAATTTTTAATGTTTAAATCCTACTTACTTGCAGTGCTACTTCCACTTGTAGGTAATCATTAAACCTAAGAATACTACAGACCAAGACAAGTTGAGAAAGTTTGGTGCTGTAATCAGATGATTTGTTGTTGTTCATTTTAGTGGGAGTACTTTATTGTGTTTGCCTATGCTTTTGTGTATAACAAGGTTTGTATTTCGGTGAAACTCTGATATGGCGTTTTATAGACGAAGGACCTTTGCATTAATGATAGAGTTTCAGAAGAGTGTAATAAGATTTAGAAGAAGCCCTCTAGTGGGCAAAAGCCCTTCTTAAATGTTGCAAATGGATATTTCTACAATCTCCTGTAGCTACAAACTTAGGAATGAGGCCAGTAGGCTAGAATCTCCAGAGCTGCTGGACAGACACGGATTATTGAGGGTCATTGAGGTGGTTTATGGGCTGGTTTTTGCTCTTTTGGTATTCAAGGAGACTTGGACTGCTTACTTAAGCATTTCAAGTGGACCACTGCTTGAAATGGGTAGACACAAGGACAGGCAGTGTGACATCTGATGTTCAGTCTTGATGGATCAGTGCTTGAAATGGGTAGACACAAGGACAGGCAGTGTGACATCTGATGTTCAGTCTTGATGGATCAGTGCTTGAAATGGGTAGACACAAGGACAGGCAGTGTGACATCTGATGTTCAGTCTTGATGGATCAGTGCTTGAAATGGGTAGACACAAGGACAGGCAGT